AAGAAATAATAATGGTCACTTTTTTGAATTTGATAACTTATATGCAAGAATAAAATTTATATTCAAGTAATATAACATTAAAAATAATTCCAAGACATGATATACAAAATTGCTATAAATAAATGATAAAATATCTCAAAAGGAGTCAGAGGATTAAAAAAACACACTCTTTTTTTTTTAAAAAAAAAAGAAGAAATCTGTCAACAGACATCCTGTTAAAAATTTGGCAAATCCAAAAACCATAGAGAGACATCTTTGGAGTACTACCTAGTGTACCTAAAACAATATGGTCTACCCGGACATACGTATTTATTATCACTCTCTAAAATGAAGGTGAATAAAGACAATTTCAGCAAATGCTAAGAGATTTCACTAATAGCGTATCTTTACTCTGAACAATGTTAAAGGACGTTGCTAAGACAGGATGTAAACAACGTTAGGTGGAAGTTTGGATTTATACCCACAAAATGATAAGTGTGGATAAATATGAAAGATTTCACATGGTGTGGTATCTCCCATCTTAAAACTTTATCTCGCTCCATTCTTCCCTCCCTCCCCCTGTTGGTCTTCATATCTTTTTCATTTCTATATAGCTTCCCTCTTCCTTCCTATTTATTACTCCATAATAACCATCATCTCTCACCTATGTTTCTGTTTCAAAAAAGCCTAATATTTCTGAATCTAAACTTGGTCCCTTCCAAAGTTCATTTCCCACAGAGCAAAAAATATATGTTTAATAGAAAACTGGATCATGCTGCCAACCCCACTACCATACCTGACAAATTTTAAATGCTTTCTCATTATACTTAGAATACAATTCAAACTCCCATCCAAGATCCACAAGCCCTTCAGGGATCTCGACCCACCCCCCCAACCCCTGTTGCCTTTTCAACATCATTTGCAGTTAATCATTTGCAGTTAATCCCTTTGTTCACTTGCGCCCATGCCCTAGTGCCTGCTTCTCCTCTTAAACTGCACTATCTCAGGTGTCCCAGTTCCCATTCTACTTGGTTTGGAACACTCCACTACCTTTGCCTGACAACACCTTTATGTTCCAACAAATTTATAATTTTACTTATAATTTATAGCTTTATTTTGCTTGCTATAATAATATTAGGTAATCTTTTCATAATATCTGATATCAACTAGGCATTATGCCTAAGAACTATATATTAATTTAAAATTGTATTATTTACTTATAATTTATTTCTACAACAAACTATGTGATAACACTACTATTGTTCCTGTTTTCCAGGTGAGGAAACTAAACCCATTGAGAATAAGTGAAATTAAGTGAATTCCCTAAGATCTCATAATTTGTCATTGATAGAGCCAGAATTTTAATGTAGACAATCTGGTTTAGGAGGCTTTTGTCTTAAATGGACCTCTTAATCTGATATTTTATTATCCAAAATATTTCTTTGATTAAGATTACATAATGGACATGTTTTTTCAGAAGTTATATTTGTTTACTAGGGTCATCATAACAAATACCACAAACTAGGGGGCCTAAATTAGAAGTTTGTTTTCTCACAATTATGGAGGCTGGAAGTCCATGATCAAGGCACCAAAAAGACTGGTACATTGTGAGGCCTCTCATAACTGACAGGAAACATTTAAACTTTATTCTTCTTTTTCAAAAATCCTGAAAATATTTCAAATGAAAATTTCAAACAAAATATAGTAAAAATTTAAATTTACAATTTGTGAATTAGTATGCATAAATTAATTTTTAAGAACTACAGGAGTATGATTTTATTTCCATTATTTAAGATACACTTATACAAACTAAGAATATTTTCTACTTGAAAATTTTAACTGAATAAGTATATGCTAATTAATTTAGAAATTAACTTAGAAAAAATAAGTTTCTCTGTAATACTCTGTACTCTTTGACTTTTTTAACCCTATAGAATTTCTTATAAAGTTTTCGATATTCTATATTTTCAATTTATCATAATAACAATTTATCATAATAACAGTTTTATTTAGATAATTATCTCATTTTAATTAGATAATTATCTCAAGATTGAAGCGATACTTTCACTGGCAGAAATTTAAACTATATAATGCTGTTTGTTAATTTGCCAAGATCAGAGTTTATCGGAACACAGTGAATATTTAGCAATAGATTCTCTTAGTAGATATTTTTTCTTTAAAAATAGAATTTTGATTTTGGAGTTTATGAAACCAAACCTACCAAAGGAAATTTATTTCGGTCAATAAGTATGGTTTTATACTTTTGGTTCAGACCTCATTTGTGATCATTATGTGTTTTTGCTATAGTCAGTGATAATTATTATGATGGGGTCTTAACAATCCAGCAAACTTGTATCATTTTCTCATACAGAATTTAGAAATTTAAAATAAAAACCACAGAGAATGAATAATAGAGGCAGAAATACCAGATTTACAACTGATAATAACTATTGTTGAATGTGACTTTTATGTGTAACTCCAATATAATTTTTTTTTGAACCTCAGTATTTCTTAAATACAAAGTCACAAAGAGAAAAAGACAACTGCAGACCTTCCAACAAAGCATTTGTGAATATCGTCTGAAAAGTTATCTGTTAAAATATTTTCCTTGTGTCATAGTTCAGTAATTCCACTGCTTATACAAGAAACTGTGTCATTTGTAGCCAAATGAAAAGGAGATTTCTGGTAGTCCTAGTATGTTTCGGTGGATTATATGATTTAGTCTCCATAGTGCATTGCCAATTTCAGTTTCTTTGAAAAGCAGTCGTGGAAATTCACATGAGAGGAAAATTTCTCAAGAAAAAAAGACTTGAATCAAAATTGCTTTTCATACCAATTATAAACAAATAGATAAGTGAGTGAATTGAAGAACAGTAGAGTAGAGTAAAGGAAATAGAGGGAGTGAGGGAGAGAGGAGTGGAGTCACCATGAATGAAATGGTTATAAATTAAACTTCATGAATGTATGATTTTGTCAAAATGAATCCAACTATGATGTATGATTCTAATGTGCTAGTCAAACCAAAAACCTGTTTTGCATAAGGAGAAATCATTCTGATTATGTTCTCTTTGTGCATTATTCATTATGCTGGAATGGACCATATTTCGAGAAAACATCAGTTTATACTAGTTGGATTCCAGGTTCCAGCTAGTTTAGTGAACTATCTATTCACACGTATAATTGCTAGATTTAGCAAATAAAAATACTGAATTCCCAGTGGAATCTGAATTTCAGATAAACAACAAATAATTGTAGAATGTCACATATAGTCTTTGGGACATATTTATATTAAAACCAACTATAAGTTGTTTACCTATAATTCATATTTCACTGGGAATTATCCATTTTGCCTATAACCCTAACGTTATTATAAGATTCAAGTTTTTGTATCTAACCCATAGACTTTCAACCAAATTATATTCTTTTATTTGAATATTAACTTGATGAGCCTATGACTATAATAGTTACATTGGTAAACTTATGGTTAGTTTTTCTTTGTAAGAATTTTTATTTGTGAACATTAAAAATAAGTATTCTTGCATATCTGTTTGAAATACCACAAGTGAAAATGTTGTCTTTCATGTTAGTGTGATAGTTTTCTAGTCACATGAACACAGTGGCCAATTTTATTTTATAAAAATAACATATCTTCTAGGACAGCTGTTATTTTTTAATCAAGGTCAGTCATGCTGGTCTTATAAGATCTCTACTATAATACAGTTATTTAAGTATTGATGTCTCTTCATTAGTATGAAATTTATTTTTAGAATTTTGATCAAACTGTAAAACTTAGTAGTTCCTTCAGGAAGCGTGCTTACTTGCAACAGAAAAAACGCAAAAATATTCTATGGCCATGGAGCAGGATTTGTTAAGAGTATCCTCACAGGATATACAGATTACCCATGGGATGAATTATGTTTATTAACTTTAATTTGGGCACTCTATAAAGAAGTTTCTTTAACTCACAGTTTTGGAGGCAGAATACCCAAGATTGGATGGTCCTGTTGATTGAGCCATGGTAATGGTCCCCTTGGCTACATCACCTCATGGCAGGAGTATATATGAAATGGAGAAATCCCAAGGTGAAACAGGAAGGCAGAATGCCAGGAGCTGCCAGTCTTACTCTTTTATAACAACTTGCTCTTATTAGAACTAGCTCAGAGGATTGTCCCAGTCCCTTCTGAGGACAGTGCCTCCAATGACCAACCCCTAGATCAACCTTTTAAGGTCTACCACTCCCGTGTCTCCATAGTGAGGACCAACCTTCCAACACATGAACCTTTGGGACACACAATTCAGGCTACATCTAAGCTATTGCACCTGCATAGTGCTAACCTCCTCCTTAAGGATGTTTTCAGAGTGAATTAACAAAATTAAAATTGTACATTCTTTATTTTAATATTTAGTGATTTAGATGAAAAACAAGTGATTCAATGGTACACTTACTTTTTTTAAATATGGTTAAATTTAATTTCATAGGATGCTTTGCATTTTCCAAAAAAAAAAAAAAAACAGGATGGCTTATTTAAATATATTAGGTTATAAAATCGAACATATTCTGGGACTTTTAAGGTTTTTAGACACATTTCTATCATGCTTTCTAAATGTTATATAATTAGATATTTTTTCAAAGAATTTACTATATGAATGCTTTTTCTGGAATAACTGTCTTTAAACAAAATTATTTTTAATAATTTATAAGGCATAATAAATAATCAACTAGCCCAGCCATTTCTTTAGTAGAAATGTTTTTTTCAGTGTAATAACTCCAACTATGTTTGCTCGGAAGAGAATTAGGTACTTTTTTCTTTCATCTATTGGGACAACAAATGGATACCTGTCAGATATTTCCAATGACAATAATTTGAAAATAGTCAAACTTATATACCCAGTCATACTGTGGTGACATTTGTAGCAAGTTCTCATTGACAAGTGCATGGTTTGAACAAAGGATGATCTGCAATAATTCCTGTCATTTTCTGTAAATAATATAACAAACTTGGCATTTATTTATCTTCTAGATGAAATGAATGATCATCAAAGTACCCTCTCCTACATCCTGATTAACCCATCTCCAGATACCAGGCTTGAACTCAATGATGTTGTGTAAGTTGATCTCATATCTTATATTGGACATGCATTTTTAGAAAACTACTAATTTCTGTATAAATTTTATATGTTACCACTATAGCCCCTTATTTTTCTGTGATACAAATGCTTATAAAGTCTATTTCTGATTAAAAATGTGCATGTGATGTGTTCCTTATTACAATACTATAAAAATTATAGGGTTATTTAAAAGAAAGGACATGAAAGGTGGAACAAAGAAGGAAATAGTGGCATGAATTCTATATTTATTTGAGGAAATAAAACTTGTGGTACAATAAGAAAACAACTCAAAGGAAAACCTGAAATATTCCACACTACTTAATTCTAAATACCATAGAGTTCCTGAGAGCTAAAGTAAAATAGGTCAAAACACATGAAGAGAAGGGAGGAGGGACACGATCAAAGCTCAATGCATGCATATATAAAATTGCCAAAGTGAAATCCACTGATTTGTATAATTAATGTGCACTAAAATTATAATACCGACATTCTAAAAATTAGAAAAAGGTCCATTAGGAAATCCGATTCATTGAAAAATATAGATTTTACATAGACTACAGTAATAATATTATCTTAAAGATGTGATATGATGATAATTAAGACATTTTCTTTGACTTCAAATTTCACATAATTAATTAATAAAAGTATATTTAAGGAGGAAAACATTAGTCAGAGACTTCACTTTGTTGATAATTTATTTGTATCTACATATATATAAGTATGATTTTTTTTCTCTTTATTTTATTTATGTTCTGCTCTTGATTATTTATTTCCTTCCACTAATTTTGAGTGAGGTTTAGTCTTGCTTTTCTCCTTCCCTGAGTTGTACCATTGGATTATTTGAAATCCTTTTTGTAATGTAGGTGTGTATTTTTAAAAGCTTCTTTCTATGGGGCTGAGGATGTGGCTCAAGCAGTAGCGCGCTCCCCTGGCATGCGCGGGGTGCTGGGTTTGATCCTCAGCACCACATAAAAATAAAATAAAGATGTTGTGTCCACCGAAAACTAAAAAATAAATATTAAAAAAATTCTCTCTCTCTCTCTCTCTCTCTCTCTCTCTCTCTCTCTTTAAAAAAAAAAACTTCCTTCTTAGTACTGTTTTTACTGTATTACATAGATTTTGCTATGTTGTGTTTTCATTTTCAATTTCTTCTAATACTTTTTTTAAATTTCCTTTTGATTTCTTCACTGACATTTATCATTTCAGAGAACATTATTTAATTCCCTTGTATCTGTAAAATTTCTAAAGAACCTCTTGTTACTGACTTCTAGCCTCTTTTACTATGGTCAGAAAAAACATGTTATGATTTCAGTTTTTGGTATTTCTTGAGACTTGTTTTGTGGCCCAGCAGTGGTCTGTGCCAGATAATATGCTACATATGGATGAAAAGAATGTCAATTCTGCAACTGCTGGATGGAATGTTTTGTGATATGTCATTAGGTCAATTTAATCTATAGTGTAGTTTAACTCCAATGTCTCTTTATGGATTTTTTGTCTGGATGATCTATCCAATGATGAAAGTGGGATGTTGAAATCTACTGTCCCGGATCCATTTTTCCTTTTAAAATAAAAGGATGTTTCATTTAGCATTTAAGAATGTTTGTTTTAAATAACTGGACACTCTTGCATCACATGTATATATATTTATAATTGTTATTTCTTTGTTTTATCGATCACTTTACCGTCACATAGTGACCTTCTTTATCTCTACATGTAGTTTTTGACTTAACGTCTATTTTATATGAAATAACTGTCATTTCTCCTTGCTTCCCATTTTGGTTTGCTTGGCTTATCTTTTTCTGTCCCTTCACTCTCAGTCTGTGTGTGCCTTTACTGATGAAAGAGTTTCTTGTAGGCATTTTACCATTGGATCATTTTTCATTTGTTTGTTTTTTAAATCCATCCCTCCAGTTTAAGCCTTTTATTTGCAGAATATATTTTGTTTATATACAAGCTCATTATTGATAAGTAAAGCCATAGTCTTCTCCTTTGGTTAATTTCTGTAGTTGTTTTGCATGTCCTGTGTTCGTTTCTTCCTGTCTTATTGTTCATCTTCGTAATTTGATGGTTTTCTGTATTGATAAGGTTTTATTCTCTTCTCTTTTATATATATTGACTCTGCTAGTAATTTTTGTAAACTTGCACATTTGCAGGATTGTAATTATCATTGTTTTACTTCTACTAGAAGACTCCCTTAGGTATTTCTTGTATAGCTGATCTGGTGGTGATGAATTCTATCAGTTTTTGCAGGTCTTGGAAAGTCTTTATTTTTCCTTCATTTCTGAAATATAACTTTGCCATGTATAGCATTCTAGGTCTGGCTGGGTTTTTTGTTTGTTTGGTTGTTTGTTTGATTTTGTTTGTGTTTTTGTTTTTGTTTTTCCTTTTTCCTTTAAGACTTTGAATATACCCCATTCGCTCCTGGCCCTTGAGGATTCTGCTGAGAAGTCTGCTTTTAGACCAATGCGGATTCCCTTATGTATGACTTGATGCTTTGATCTTGATTTTTTTAGAAATCACTCTTGGTATTGAACTTTTCTTACTTACTTATTCATTTATTTTTAGGGCATCATAGTTAAAATAATTGGGGTCATTTTGACATATTCATATATGAATATATAGTTTTCTCCATTTTCTTTCAACCAAAGTACTTCCTCTTTTCCACCCTTCCTCAGATACTCTTCATCTACTCAATTAGTCTGTCTTCTATTTTACTTTTTAGTTGATGCATTATAATTACACATTAAATTTGAATGAATTTTGAAATGTCCATACATACACATAGTATAATTTGCTCAAATTCTTTCCTTTTTCTTCTCTTTTTCCTTTTTTCCTCCCTTCCCCTTGGAAATTATGGCATTTGTTGGTTAATAAATGGAATTGGAGAACATTATGCTAAATGAAATAAGCCAGACTTAGAAAATCAAGGAAGAAAGAAATACAAAGAGAGAATGTCTTGCAATTTTGACGGTTTGCCTGTAATATGCCTCAGCGAACCTGTTATTGAGTCTAATCTATTAGGAGTCCTTTGAGTTCTATGAATGTGGATGCCCATATCTTTTACAAGATTTAAAAGATTTCAGCAATTATTTCTTTGAATAGATTTTCTCTGCCTTTTTCCTTTTCTTATTCTGGAATGCCAATAATGCAAATGTTGGTCGCTTACTAGTGTCCTATAAGTCTTGTAGACTTTCTTCATTCTTTTATTTCATTTATTGATTTCTTTAGCTCCAAGATTTCTGTTTGGTTCTTTTTTATGAACTCTGACTTTGCTGACTTTTTCACTTAGATCATGAATTACATTCCCAATTTTATTGACTGTTCTGTCTGTATTCTCTCCTATTGTATTGAGTTTTCTTAAAGTCATTGTTTTAAATTATTTGCCAGGTAATTAGTCAACTTGTTCTTCTTTGGAGTCTGTTGCTAGAGTCCTTGTGTTCCTTTGGAGATGTCACATTATGTTCTCCTTTTCATGCTCCTTGTGTCTGTACACTGGTAATTGTGTAACTGAAGGGTCAGTTGCCTCTACTAATTTTATAATATGGTTTTCTCAGTTACATAATTTTCTGTGATGACCTAGGGTCTAGAGAGGCTATATTTGTTGTGGTTCCACATAGGTGCCTTACGGTCTTGTCTGTGCAGCTTCCATAGTCAATATCAATGCTGGTGATGCCCGGGAGTGTCTCAGCAGCCTAGGCCATAGAGGTCATGGTTTGCATTGCCAGCAGGGATGCAACCCTCTTGGATGTGGTTGGTTAGTTAGTGGCTCTTAATAATTTGCTCTTGACTGCACCTGTAGGGTACCTATTATGTTCCATAGGTTATGTCAGGATCCAGTGGATCCAGTCTGGAACGCTCACGCTGGTAAGATGGACCTGGACCATCAGTATAGACAGAGCATCCATCTGTTTCTGAGGGCTGTGTGGAAATGGGGCTGCCTCTGTGGAAATAGGTGTTGTGGAGCAGTGATCCTGGTAGCAGAGCAAGGTTACCTATCATCTTTTAAAAGCCATGCAGGAGCCAGGCTACACAGACAGGAATGACTAGGTTGTCCTTAAATATCCCAGAGCTACATAGGTGACTTAGCAAGATCTATCCCCAGCCTGCTTTGGATAGGCAGTCCAGCTGTTTTCTGGGGTTGAAGATATGCGGATGGGGCTATCCACATGCTTCCAAAGGCCTTTATGGACTAAATCATTCAGGACAGGTTACTTGGCTGTTTCCTGGGGTTCTGGATACAATTCTGGTCCTCAGTCATCTAATTTTCTCAAGAGAGGCTTCCTGCTACTTCTAGTAGCTTCAGGAGAATAGGTAAAGTTGCCCTTTTGCTTCCTAGGGCACCTGTAGTTTGAGCAGTTCAGGGTATCCTGCCAGCGGTTGTTAGGTGTAGCTGCCCATCTGTTGAGCCTCTGTTGGCCAACCTGTTTAGGGGTGGTTCAGCTGCTTCCCCAGGCTAACTATGGGTGATCTGGCCTCCCATCTGTTTCCCAGGCTGGAGGTGTATGGTGGGGAGGCCTATCTGCTTCCCCAAACCTTATCAGGCTGAGCCACTCAGGGAAGGCTGCCCAGCTGCTTGCTGGGGACTGTGGGAGGGTAGGCAGGGGAATTCAGCTGGTTTGCAGGCCTTAGATATCTGGCTACCTCACAGGAACATGGGTGGGTAGGATCTCAAGATGGTGTTCTGCAGGCGCCTGGACAGGGAAGGGCACAGTGTGTTCTGTGCTCTTTGTTGATGATAATACACTGGTATAATAACCCACAGCTCCCCAAGCTGGGTTCAAGACCTTCAAGGACTGTGGGGATGGATCTCCAGCAGTAAATGCTTAGGGTGTCTATGGTGTGAATGAGACTACTGGGGTTCTTCTGCCTAAGTGGGACCTCCACATGAAGTTTTTTGGTTCAGACTTGATATTGGGAGATGTACAGAAGATGCTGTTTACTCAGTTCCCTTCTTTATAAAGTTTCCATGTCTCTTCAATGACATCTCTGCAACTTCCCACTGAACTTTGGTCTTCTTTTTTAAACACTCCAGAGAAATAGCCCCTTGATTTGGTTCTTTATTTTGGAGGGAAAGGTGCCAGACACCTCTCCTCATCCATTGTGCTGATGTCACCCCTCAGGTATGCTAATTGTAAAAAAGAAATTCTGCAGAAAGCAATGGAACTGATTGGCAGGGTGGATTATGGTTGAAATGGGCCTGAAAGTAGGGAAAGCAGTTCAGAAGCAGGCATGAGGGAGATAACCTGTCACAGTATCAAGACAATGGGTTGTAAAGGTAAGTTCCTATGTAAATATATGTATGGAGGCAAAGAATGATACTTCATTACTGATGTGGGAATTGAGGAAGAAGGAGTCTACCAATTTCTCAAACTGGAAAGAGGGATTGTTGACTGGAGGAAAAAGATAATGAACTGGATCTAGATATATTTCTAAGTGCTAAGCAGAAATGTCTAGAAAGCATATAGATATATAATACTGCAGCTTTGAAGATCAGTTAGTTCTACATTGGAAGTTTTTTTTTTTTTTTTTTTAGTTTTAGAGATTAAGGAAGCTAAATGGGAATGACTTTTTCCAAAGAAGTGTATAAATGAAAAAGAATAGAAAACTGAATGTTAGCTTATAGAGTAGTGTTTGGTTTTAGGGAGGGTGAAATAAATAAATAAATTATTTTAAAAATATTCTTTTCTTTAAACACATAAATATAAGCAATATCTATGAATTCTTCAGGCTACCCCATTAGTATGAACCTTCTTATACTTCTTTCCAAATAATACAATTGTATTCATTATATAGTTTTCATTTAATTATGCTTACTTTACTTGTATTTCAAAATAGGTTAAGTATCTTAACCCTAACAAAATTATTTTCCATGATTATTTTTTGAAAGAATTATCAAAAATATATTGTTTTCCTTTGAAGTCTATGGACATATTCCCATATCATATATGTATGTATTTGACTAAATTATTTCTGAAATCTTTCAGCTTATAAATAAATCATATATGGTATAATGTATACAGGTAAAATGCATATATGTTTGGACCTTTTTCTCCCCTGGATGCTTTTATTCTTCTGTTAGTTTTAATCTAAAATCCCAACTTGACTTCTATACAAACCATTATTACATCATTGCAATAATCTATGTTTGTGGCACTGAAATATATTTTAGTAGAATTTGAGTGATGACAAATTATCATAAAAAAATTCCATCATAAGTAGCATATAAAAATACAGCATAAGGTTGTGTTGTAGTTCAATGGTAGAGTGCTTGCCTAGCACATATGAGGCACTGGGTTTGATCTCAATACCACATAAAGATAAATAAATACAATAAAGTTATTGTGTCCATTTACAACTAAAAATATTTAAAAATACAGCTTAAGAAATTTGCTTTATTACACTTATAATAGTGATAACAATAGGGAAAGAAACTTTTGTCACAACATCAATGAATTTAATGGATAATGGATTATATATGTGCCTTTTATGTTATTCTAAAAATTTACCTTCAAAAGTTCATTCCAATTGAACTGGCAGCATTAATTTGATTAAAAAAATCACTAGATGATATGGCATTAAAGGGCTTAATGTGCACTATTAATTTTCTTCATTGATCTATAATGCTATTGATATTTTAAGTAATTATAAAATAGTGTACAAAGACAGCAAAATCCAGTAAACAGATTCAAAGACACTACTCTCAACTTTTGATTGAAGAAAATAGACTGCAGTGCTTTTAATACTCTCTCATTTAAATTAAGGGCTATATTTTATAAATATTTTACCTTTAATCCTTAAGAGAAAATTATGATTTTCATTGAGTTCTCACTTTTTAATTGATTGCTCCATTCATATTTTCTACTTCCTCCTGAAATCATTATAGGAACATAAAATATTGCTTTCATTTTTACCTGGAAAAAACTGTCTTGGAATCTTGCATTACATTTGCTATCCTCTTCCTTCCTAACCATCAGTGGCTTCCCACTACCTTTGGAACAACAACCAAAAAAATTGTTTTTCCCTGAAGCTGAAGATCCTTCATTAGCTATTTCTTACCTTTCTTTCTGACTCTGCCTACCACTGTTTCTTGGTCTCACCAGTCATGTGAAGTCAAACACATTTTCTAAGCATATTAGGAACAGCCCTTCCTCTGTTCCCCTAGTTGTCCAGCTCAGGAATGGCCTCCCCCCTCCTCTCTTCTCACACCTGCAGTGACAAGTTCAACTCAAATCTCTTAAGAGAAAGTAGTTCCCAACTCTCTCTGCTCTTCTTTGTGGCTGTTTGAAATTTCCTGTCTTCTTTATATATGCTTCAGAAGCTATACTCTAGTCTCCTGCAGGGCAGGAGTGAGATTTTGAGACTGAAACTACTTTGTATTGCCAGATGCTAGCACTGGTCCTACAGGTGCCCAAGAGGTGGGTGCTGTTGACAGAGATCATTTCACAGTGTGAAGTAAAACATCCATCTTAAAACAAATCCTACCATTAATGAAAAGTTTGAGTTTGGCAGATGAACATTTTTTTTCTATTTGTTTGTAGAATGAATTAAAAATTATTTTTATGCATTTTTATTCTCATTATAACATCATTTAATTTTAGATGAACACTAAACTAATTTTAAATGAATACTCAAGTATTATCATGCATAATATGCACTGCAATACTTATTAAATCATTAATTTTATATAATTATATTTTTAAATTAGAAAGGTCATAGGAATTACTTAATCAAACTTCTCATTTTATGAATAAAATAAATAAAATTGAGAATTTAAGTAATGAAAGAATGATGTCTAGGATGCCCACCTCCTTGATAGAAAAATGACCAATGGAAGAGATAGTGAGTCAATAGAAAACTAAAATAAATCATAAAAATGAATAAGATGATGACAATGCTGAAATGGATCACAATTGAAAAGTAGTGATATAATTCATGACTCATTATGATTCATCAGTATTCATTATCATTATCTTATCATGTATAGAAAGAATAATATAAACCTTGCAAAATTTTATAGACTAACTCAATAGTTAGTCTTTCCACCAATTGGTCTTTTCATTAGTTTTGTTTAAAGAAAACAGTTTTGATAACCTGAAATCAGAGCTCATTACAAAGTAGAAATCCACTGTGTCAGTGTCAAATAATGTTGCCTTTATTTACTATTGCAAAGTGATTTCCTGTTTTCTCTTTCATCAGATACTTAATCCGACCAGATCCACTGGCTTACCTTCCAAATAGTGAACCCAGTCGGAAAAACAGCATCTGCAATGCCACTAATCAAGACTCAAGGGAGGAAACTCAACTTTGATAAAAGGAAAATAAGAGACTACTTTTTCCTATAAGGATCTTGCTTGAAACAGCAAAAGTGTTGCAGAAATTAAAAGAAACTATACTGAAATATATTTAACTCTTTCCTACTAAAGCAAAAATCTATTCTCTTAGAAGTATAGATCATTTTGAAACTCTATGTATTATTTATTGGTACTTCCCCTATTACTACTTAAAAGACAACAGTGGAATGAATCTGAAAACCAAAAGTAAAACAAAAAAAATTAAATGTGATATTCAACTCTTTGACAGTAAATTGAACTATATGAAGCCACCTTAACAAAAATTAAGGTTTTATGAAGTAATGAAAAATTTTAGTATTTGGTATGTCCCAAAGGACATTGAAGATTGTTACTCCTCTTAAAAATAAATGTGTCAGCATATTCTTTAAACTTGCTGTTTTATAAAACTGAGCTCATCATAAATGTCTAGTCTTCTCTGCCTAGAGATTACCCAACAAACTTGTGTGGCTGATTTTTGTGTAAGAATCAGAGTTTGCTTTAGCATACAAATCTTAAAGTCATTTTAACCCTTTCTGTCTGCCTTTTCATATGATATATTAGTTTAGAATTTGAGATGTTCATAGCATGTTTAATTACACAGAAGAAATTAAAACATAAAAAGAAATATGAAGTACTGAATATTTTGGTGACCTTATAACCAGCACACACTTTATGCTAAGAAAAGTGTATTAAAAAGTAAATATTATTCTCCTAAAAGAATGCCTAGCATAGAGAAAACACTTAATAAACAGTTGTTGATTTTAATTTTATTCCAAAAATTGAAACAGTAACTGGATTTCTGAAATATGCAGAAATGATTTTCATTAGACTCTTGAACTTTAACATTTTTCATATATCTATGTATTTAATTTCACCAGAAAAATAATTTAAAATTGAAGGAAAAATATTTGTACTTTTTATGGACTACAGAAATATGTCAAAATCTTAAACATCCTCCATATGTCTTTGGCATTAAAATAATTGCCCTCAAAATAGGATGTTAAAATTTTTTTGTTTCAATTTTGGGAAAATGACCAATGTAGAGGACAATGAGTAAACAGAAACTAAAATAAATCATAAAAATGGATAAGACAAAGATGCTGTTATGGAATTTTGGAAATCATCCATATTATTGTATTTGAACTTGGTGAGGAATGAGCATTAAAGAATAGGTAATCCTTGCCCTTTAAATTTAACATGAATTTTTCAGAATTTGACAGTTATAAATTTAAATATAAATTGGCCCTTGGAGACACTAATGCTTTTGTCTGGATTGTTTTCCTTCCCTATATAAATAGACCAAAAAGTACAAGAGAAAGCACAGATAGTTTGCCTGGTGGTAGAAGGGTGTTAAAGTGTTACTGTGGGATAGACTTTGCTAAATTTTTTAATATATTTTTCTTCTAATTGCCTATTTTTTAAAATTCCTTAATTTGACATTGAGTTTCCATTCATGAAATAATACTAGGACCTCAAGAATAGTACGGAACATTTCTGTCCTTTTTACAAAATAATGAAGCAGATCAACTGAAAGGAAAATAGAAATTTATTTTTTAAAAATATAAAGAAATCCTAATATTTCCCTAATAATTACATAGGAAAAAATGAAAGATATACAATATGAAATCAAAGAATATTGTCATTGCACATTTGGACTTGGGGAGTGAAATGAGTTTTTTTAAAATTTTTAAATATAATTTGCAATACCCATATTTTAGAATGGCAAGAACACCAACAATTTCTCTCCAGAGAGAAGCTCTCTTTATTCTTCTCTAATTGGTTAGAGAAGTAGAATTATGACAAGTTATTTAAAATTGGGAGCATGCCTTAAAACTTACTGATTGTATGCATATATGTGTGTGTATGTTATAAATGTCAAATATATTTGACAAATACACCTATCATATAATTGTTAAAATTGACGGCAGAATTGAACTAATGATATAATGGAAACAAATAAGGAACATACTGAACTTGTTTCATATTTGCACACTGATAGTCAAATATGATGTTTCTTTGAGTTGACATTTTTTTACTCCATTATGGTTATTTTTAGGAATAAAATAAGATTTTACAAATCTTCTATTTCCCCACAAGATCTGAAGTTTAGTATTTTTGCATTTTGACAGTTGTTAAGACTAGGATTTTAAGCTAGGATATAATTATATTTCCTATAAGACTAAAAATTTTGTTTGATAACTTTTAAAGTAATTATTTTTTATTATAAACGTTATCCCAAATTTAATATTTGACAGAGTTCATATCAGCTTGCTATAATAATAATAGTTTATTAGTCTCTCGGGTTATTTAAAAAAATAAAACATGCTTATAAAATAATTTTAACAAACTGTTGCCTTTTTAAAATAATTACACTAGCACATTGAAAATAAAACATAAAGTCAATAATGGTCCTTGTAGCCCTATGGGAATTGGTTCTGTTTATTGTCTGTGTACCATTTTGCTACCAGTTACATTGAATTGCTTTAGAATAAATAATAAAATTATTTCTGATGATGAAACCTATTTGTGATTTTTGCCAAAACTTGTTTACACAAAGTATGTTTTGTAACTATAAAATTCATTTTTGTTACTTTTATATTTCAAATCCAAGATAAACATCAAAGGAATCCCATTGGAAGAGAGAGAACTTAATTAAGCCATAAATAATAAATTACTTTTTATCATAATAGATTCTGAATAGTAATTTTACTATGACAAGACAGAAGAACGTAGAAAGGAAAGGGACCAGAGGGGAAGAGAGAGAAAAGAGGGAATGAACAATGAGAAGAAAGAAAGGAGAAAAGAAAGTGGCAGGAAGGAAACCTAATACAGGTGCCAAACAAGAAGTATTTTTCATAAAGCAGAGAATGACATCCCAATGTGCTAATTTGAGGTCCAGAAAACACTGATTCAGGGGAAAGAAAAAGTTTTAAATGCATTAATAGACTTCTGGTTCCAAGTAAACGGAGTAGGCACCTTTCTCCCTAGTCTTCCTGCTAAGATACCTTTATAACCCTTGAATATTATATTAATAATACAAATAGAAGACTCTTAACAGTGGGAAGAAGAAGAAGAAAAGCTGAGTAGGTACATGGAACTTGAGGAACAGCCCAAATATGAGTTGCATGGGTTTCTTTTTGCCTTCCTTATATCTGGATCTGGATATTAGGAAACACTAATGAGCATAGACCAAAAAAATTCCCAAGTACAATCTGCTCTCTCCTCCCAAATGACTGGTTCCTGCAGCATGTACAGTTTCTTACTCTTGATACTTCAGTGTGGTGACTTCTCCAGAGAACACATCCCAGAATATGTAGCGGTCAGCACCCCGGGCCAGAAGATTCCCCCTAGCACCCCATCAGATGGATTTGTAGTAGAGTCTCTGCAGAGAGACAATGCCTCATGGATCACTTTGCCTGCACACTAAAGGGCAGACTTCCAGCTTTTTCTGCTATTGCAGCATCATAATGATTTCTTTGCCATCCTGTGAACCACAGCTGTACCATACCCAAAGGAGTTTACATTTGAATTCTGTATTCTTTTCCTGGAGCACTTCATCTCGGCCCTGAACATAATAGATATTCCCTATAGCCACTATAATTTAATTATTTCCAAGTTTTCTTTACATACTGCTAGCCAATCTGTTATTAATCCAGTGCTCTGTTGCAGTTAATATTTCATTATATAAAATGTTCTCTGCCCAAATCACTGTAGTTTCTACTCTAAACTGGACCTGGTCTGATATATGATATATAATCAGCAATTCTTTATGTACTCAAACATTAAATAATGACAACATCAAATTCTTATGACTGCAAATCAGAGAGACAGACTTTAGGCAAATTCAACATAAGAATAGTATCTACCAGGAAACTTTTCTGACAGATAACATACTCATCCTGTGGTATATTAGGCCACTTGGATTTCATTTTGATCTTTCTTATTTTTTATAAGACTGATCTCTAGTCTGTCTCATTTGGAGAAGCCTAGTGGTATTAGGCCAGCTTTAAGTTTCTCGGTCAATCTAAGGTTATAAATAATAATTCTTAAAAACAGTAATTGAACTTATAATAAACTTACATTGTATGTTATAATCTAATAGAACTGTATGTAATTAAACAAAATATTTTAGTAAAAATAAAAGAGAAATCTATTTTTTAAAAATTCATAATAGAAATATTTCATGAATTGCACCATAAATTAGTCACATGTCAAAGAAAGTTATAGCTCCACACAAAGATTTATGTGTTCTGTTTTTTCATCATACATAAAATGCATTTAAGTCTAGAGATAGCAGGCTAGATAGCTTTAGACTTGCAATCTGAAAAGGAAGCATTTCTAAATTTATGATTTTCAATCTGTGATTTGTATATTATTAAACAAACTCTTTAGGCAAGATTCTCATTAAAATGCAATCATTTATTTTTTTTCCTCTGAAAATCTTTAATCAGCAAAAGAAAGAGCCACTGAGACACTATTACTAGAAGTGAGGTAAGTATTGAAGTTCAGGTTTATAAGTATACTATATAGCTATATGGACACAATTAAATTATATCACAGAAAAAATAATTATAGAATCACAAGTATTTTATTACTGATTATTGCCATATTTCAAAAACTTTACTAATTTGCATCAAATGTGATGAATTTCAAATTTTACTTGAGAGCACAGAATGAGACTCCAAAAGGTTGTCAGTCTGTCATATGTTTTCATAAAGAAACATCTTTTGTGATGTACTTAGGCAGGACAAGTATGGCTATATACTGTAGTAATAATAGATAAACAAAATAATCTCAAGTGGTTTAATAGAAATCGATTTCTATTTAGAGCAATGACCAATACAGGAAATGATCTAAAGTTTTATAATAAAAGATTTTACAAATATACATTCATGGGATGGGATAGTATTAATAGTCAAACCACTGGAGTAATATAAATATAACATGTTTACTGCCTTTACTAATAATTCAAACTCAGAGGTAAAATATGGAAAAAACGATAACTATTTGAAAAAAAAAAGCTTCAACTTTGTTCTTCAGCCAACTAAGCTATAAATGACTGGATTTTGAAAAAGAAATATCTTATGATCTTTATTCTAATGAAAACAAACTAATTTTTAATGTTTCTGGCAAAAAGCATGCTGTGAAATGACTGACATTTACCCAGGAAAACATGTTGCTGAAGATAATTAAGTAGCTGTGCTTGATTTATTATCACTAACTAAAGGAGAAAAATTCTTTATTTTGAAGCACTGAACATCATGCAAGTAATTCTCAGTTCTCACTTTAGCCAAATTAAGATTTATCCTTGTACTAGGCAACTTATAATTTAATTTGAAGCTAGGGAAAGATAATCAGTTACCTTTGTGTCACTGTGTTAAACTTGAAAACCTAAGTTAGCCAGAGAGAGGATGGTTCTTCAGTCATTTTGGAATATAAAATTTTCAATACACATATTTTTGAAATAGAAAATATTCTACCTGAAAATTGAAATGTTCTACCTATTTATCAATATGATTACAATATTTGTTAGATAAAGGCAAAATCATTTGCCCTTTTATAATGGAATATGTTCATTTTATTTAATAATATGTTATTGTAAAAGTAGTATAACATTGTGGCCAAAGATTGCCATATACTTTTTTCAGTTGGCTATAAATGACTAGATTTTGAAAAGGAAATATATTTTTAAAAAGAACTAATTGAAGGCATTTTAGCCATATGGATAGGTGATTGGTCACTCCCCAATCCTAAGTCTTGGCAGGAATGTTGTTTTGAAAGAAAATAAAAGTTGAAGTGTCCATTTCTTACAAACACATTTCTTCTCTTTCAGCCAAAGATGCACAATGGAATACAAAAATTTAAAAATTAATAAAATTCTTTTGTAAAATGATATTTTATGATATGGGAGCCATGTTCACATTCTGAGTTTTTCTGAAGTATTATAAACATATACATGATATTTATATATTCTTAAAAAGTGTGTTATTAGAGGGGCAGGAGTTGTGGCTTCATGGTAGAGCATTTGTCTAGCACATATGAGGAGGCACTGGGTTCTATTGTCAATACCACATAAACATAAATAAATAAAATAAAGGTATTGTATCCATATACAACTAAAAGCAATATTTTAAAAAAGTGTACTATTAGGAATCTGCATGAACATTGGTTTAGTGTTTTGAAGTAGTTCCTGTAATGTTTGTAAAGTTTTTCTTAAGGAGCTATTATTAAAAGATATTGACAAGATTTGCACTGCCTTACAATTATTGGACTTTGAAAGCATTTTTTATATTAAAAGAATCAAACTTTCCTAACATCTTTCAATTTATTTACTTTTTTATATAAAACGGCCACCAAAGCAATTACTGAATTCATATAACCTTGAAATAACTTAGTGAAGTAATTTAACATCTTTTTGTATCACAGATAGAAGCCAATTTTCATCTGAATCTGAAATCAATTGCTTCTTTGTAACTCATCCAATATCATCATAGAATAAACTACAGGATACAGATGATGAGCTGGGATAGGTAATTTGTTTTGTGCATACAATATTGATCACCTCTTTCGACATAATCTTCATTGCAGCTACTGCATCTTGCATCCTGCTATGGTGCATTGAGCTTACATTTAGAGAGACAGCTACTTGAATCTCAGGTATTCAGGAACTAATTGTGGGGCGTTTGGGCCATGTGGAAAGGTGATTGGTCACTCCCCAATTCTGTGACTTGGCAGGAATGGTGATTTAAAAGAAAAAAAAAAGTTGAAAAGTTCATTTCTTACAAACACATTTCTTCTCTTTCAGCCAAAGATGTCCAATGGTATATTTCTAAACAAAAAACATTATCTTCCTGAGAAACATATATTCTTAAAAAGTGTGTTATTAGAGGGGCTGGAGTTGTGGCAAACCACATTTTAAATTTTGTTTCTTCTTCATTGACCACATACTGATCATACTATGACTAATAATAACACAAGTACAAGGAGGGGTTAAGAGGCCCTGAAGAAATCTAAGATTTTATAAAATCACATAAAGGGAACTTTTATTTATTAATATCAGTGAAGGCATTGTGAGGCTTTCCTTGAAAAAGTACGTTCTGTGTGTGTTCATTTCTTACAATTGCCCTTGGACCCGGGACTTGTTCCAACTGGATTTGAAGATCATGACAGAACTTTCCATAGTAACTGGAATAGCAATTAGAAATGAATTTTGTAGGAGAAAAATCACAGTAGACATGGACATCTTAAATTTGTTTTGTGGAAATTGAGAGATATATATGCTCATGAACTAAAAAAATGGTTAACACAAAGCTCTCAGAAGCTTAGAAGTAGGTCTCTACTGGAAAAAAAAAATCTATCACATCATTCATGGGTCTGTTATTCTATTTCCTAAAAGTCTCTCAAATCCTATATTCCCACTGTCTTCTTAGACCAGGGTATTCAGATATTAGCATATTCCTGTGCTATTGAGTTTCTCAAACTCAATATTTCCCTCCTCATTTTTCCCCCAGATTATGGT